TTCTTTATGCAATGTGTACACCAACCCTAATAGAAATTGATTTCACATTCAAGGTCAGATATGATGATCGCAGTCACTGGGCTATGCCTGATGGTCACTGGGCTGTGCCTGATGGTCACTGGGCTGTGTCTGGCAGTCACTGGACCATATTGGCATTGTGTTTGGAATTTCAGAATGGAATTAGAAATCATGGGACAATTTCCAAACTTTTTTCCCCTAAAGATATTGCAGAATCTTGCAATGGTTTGCATACAGGCACAGTTGTACATCTTGTTAAGGTGGTGCAGATTTCCCCTTTTCCCTCTTCTCCCCTTTCCCTTCCTGGAGTCTGGACTTTACAAGATGAATGGATGGAGATGGTGGTCATTCATTTGCACCGCTATATCAAATGCAAGGATTATTATTATTTCAGCCTCAGAGAGTGACTGTGTGGGAAAGGAAAACCACTTACTGCCTGGCTCTGCCAGTCCAGAGCAGGTCTGTCTACTCAGTCCTGTTACATAGAGCCACGCAAGACTGATGTATATTTGATCTTATTTACCTTGCGCTGATAAAGCACCCAAACCTCAGGAAACTGTGGCCCTCTTGAATTGTTAACTCATGCCTGAGTAGTTCTGCTTGCCTTTGTTCAAGGTTAGCAGGACGTATGCTGATACAATCAGCTAATATGCTGTCAGCCAGGAGCAGGTTGCTTTGTTTGATCATGAGTTCATTCAGGCATAGCTCATTTGACACAGGCCAGTGGTGTGGAGGTTTCCGTTTTTGTGTTTTTTTTGCTCCATTCGTCAGGTCACCTCTTTCAGCATAAACTGCAGTGACACATTCAGTTTTCAATTTTACAGTCTTGTACTTTGTACAATGCAGATCTTGCCCTTCTATTGTTTTTTTTTGGTCAGCCGGGTGTCTGATACACATGGAAGCCCATCGCTATGTTTAGGAGTTTCCAAACCAAATTACTGACAGTTCCACATATGTGTAGAAATTTCCCTGGAATAGAGTACGCACTATTTCCCCAACTCATCTAATCCCAGAAAGTATTAGGTGCAAGAGACGAGAGCCATGGCTTGAATGTGTGTTGAGAGACAACTGGAGATTAACAAGCTCAAAGCATGTAGCTGGCCATTATGAACACTGTCAGGCAAGCTTTCATTGTTAACCTGGGCTGCTACCATCAAAAAGCACTGGATTTCTGATTTCCTGAGAGTGCTCACCTCAAGAGTTCACAGTAACATACCAATCAAATCAACTATCAAACCCTCACATAAAGCTCACCAAAATTTTGATAATAGAAATTAATTCCACATGTATGCGGATGACACCCAACTCTACTTCTCTGCCTCCACTCTTCACTCCAGGACCACTGCTATCCTGACAGAATGTCTGTCGGACATCAAGTCCTGGATGAGAGCTAACTTTCTTCAGTTGAACGTCAACGAGACCGAGGCTCTCTTGATTGGCTCCCGTTAGCGCCTCCTCACCTCAGGCGCTGACAGCATCACCATCCAGGGTTGCACACTCCACTTGCTAAGGCAGTCCGGAACCTTGAGGTCTTGTTTGACCCTTAACTATCCTTTCTAACCCACATCTGTGCCATGACCCGCTCTGCCTTCCCCCACCTCCGCAACATCGCCCGGCTCCACCACTGTCTCACACCACAGGCCACCGAAACCCTCATAACACACATTCATAACATCCAGGCTTGACTATGTAAATGAATTGCATGTCAGACTCTCCAACTCCTCCCTCCACAGGCTGCAGATCATCCAGAGCTCTGCAGCCCACTTCTCTCCCGCACTAGGCTCCGCGACCTTATCACCCCCATTCTCGCCCAACTCCACTGCCTTCCCATCACACAGAGGATACAGTTCAAGATCCTTGCCCTAACGTTCAAAGCCCTCCATGGTCTTGGTCCCCCCCAGCTCTGCGACCTCCTAACTCCCTACCATCCTGCTCGCTCCCTCCACTTAGCGGGCTCCGGCCTGCTTCACATCCCCTGCCTCGCTTGCCCCACTACCGGCAGCCAGGCCTTCTGCCACTCTGCCCTCACCCTCTGGAACTCCATCCCGCAGTCCTTCCGCCTCGCCCCCTCCCTTGCCTCCTCTTCGACCGTGCTTTTGATCTCCTTGCTTCCCCGCCTGCCCTCCACCTCCCCCGACCCCCAGCTCGGGTCCGTAACTCTGTCTATCCAGCACCTTGGGACGTCCTCCCAACGTGAAAGGCGCTTTACAAATGTAATTTTGTTGTTGTTAATTCTGAGGAATCCTAGAATCACAGATTTTAAAAAGAAACTTGCCAGATAGTGTGGCAAGCGGTGTGGTTTGAGCAGTATCCCAATGCACGCTCTTAGGTCCTCTAATCATGGTTCCTGCCAACTTAATACCAGAATTAGGTAAGCAGGTTGCATCCCTCCATTCCAGTGTGCTTTCCACTCCAAACAGGGGAATGTGTAAATGCATATGTGGAACTCTTGTCAGGTTTGCATACATATGGTAATAGGCTTCTGCATGTATCCAGACACTTGGCTGAACCAAAAAAAGAAGCGTTTGATTCCAGAAGCAGGGAAATTTCTGTCTGTAGGTGGTATACATATGTGGAACTCCATCCAGTTTGGATACTCTTAAGCATGATTTCTGCATGTGTCAGGCACCCGTAAGATACAGTCACTACACTTTACAGTAAGATCCCGTGAAATGCTCTGAGTTGTCCTCCTGATAGGGGAAAAGTGTTTTTTTTAATATAAGGTTTGTTACTTTAATGAGAACAAAACTGATTCTGCATGTTTTATGAAATAAAAGATGTAATTCCAAACATTTGGAGTGCTTTTATGTACAGAAGAGTTGATGTCAGTGCATTACCAGGCAGTAACCTCAAGGGTTTATAAAAACTGAAAGTAAGGCAAGTGCAGTTTACTAAAATTACTAGTTTAGAATCCTCTCCAGGACTTGGAACAGAAGTGCCTTTGTATGGTGAAGATCGATTTCACTGCATGTCACAATGCAGGATTGTACAAATGCAGGAAATCATAGTGTATTCCTTAATTAATGAGACTTCCAGAAATAAAAGTTTTTTTTAATTTGCTATTTTTGGTATAGTAATTCTTCGGAGGTTATTTTAAATTTGCATTTAGACCATTATTAGTCTACTAGTCAAGTATTATTTTTTGGGAAAAAACGTTCTCCCCGTTAAGCTCCGAGTGGACTGTTGAGTCCAGCGGGTGGGGATTGGTGTCCAATCTGATGTGGGCACTGCCAGTTAGCCTCCAGGTAGTTTCTCGTCTTTGAGGTACAATGCTGTAGAGCCCCAGCTTATCTAGTGGCTCATAACTCATTCTTCTAACATTGCGGATCATATTCATTGCTCTCCTCTGCACTGCCTTCAGGGCACAGTGGTGCCCAAACCCTCCAGGTGTGGCCTGACCAGAGAACTGCAGGGTTTGAGCATTAAGTACATAGATCTACATTGAAATAGAGGTGCTGTCTTCCAATTAAATGTTAAACTGACGTCCAGTCTACATATTCTGGTAACATTAACCTGTGGCTGTAATTGAAAAGAGAAAAGAGTTTCTCCCAGTGCCCGGCCAACAATTGATATAATAATACAATAATAATCCTTGTGTTTGATGTAGCGCCTTATCAAATCTTTGAGATTTCTCAAAGTGCTTCACAGAATATACTGTAAAGTGAATTGACTGTATATTTTGTGGGTGAAATGCGGCAGCCAATTTTGCACAGCAGTGTCCCACAAACAATCGTTGATTGAGCGACCAATTTTTTATTTTTTTTTAAGGAATTATTACCTCCAGAAAAGCAATCCACCAATTGAACTAATAACTGAGTTCTTACTTACTGCTAGATAAACAGAGATGTGTGTAATAAGGAAACTTGTCCAACGTTTCACCCTGCCCAGGTCCTCTCGCCTGCAAGGCAAGTGCTCTAACCGCTACGCTACATAAATGTGTGTAAATTTGCTCCTGTGTTCATCTATAAATACTGTTACTTTCAACAACGACTTGCATTTTCAATGAATGAATGAATATCAAGCCCTACGTTGCGTGAAGAATGCTAAATAAATGCAAGTTGTTGTTGTTGTACTTTCCTCAACAGTAATCACTGTGAAAAGCCTTGAGCGATTTCAATGTGATAAGGTGCTATATCAAATGTGAGATTTATCAGTCCAAATGCATACAATATTCAGTATATTGATCACTTTTTTAAAATTGTGTAATATCAACTCTTCCATTTTTAATATTTTGCCCACAAAATATACAGTCAATCCATTTTATCGTATATTCTGTCAAGCGCTTTGAGATGTCTCAAAGATGTGATAAGGCACTATATGAAATGCAAGGCTTATTATTTATTATTTAATCACTAATGTGTAACTGCTGCTCACACTAAGAACAACAGCTTAATTCATATGGAGGTGAAATTCCTTGCATCTGGAGTGAGCCTTTGGTGCTTATAATATGGTTCTGTGGTCCGTTGCAATATGCTATGACCTCACCTGAGGTCCTCAAGAGATCTGCTGCACTATGTATCGCAGAGTCTTTATTCACAGTCTACAAGGTTGGATAGAGAGAAAGAGAGAGAGAGAAATTGTGGGACTTAGCTATAGTTATAGCTATTTTAGTGAGTAGCCCTAGGGTTAAGTGTAGTGTTCTACCTGCTCAGGAGAACCTTTATAGTTGTGGTAAAATTGAGTAATGCACATTTTCAAGTTGGGTATAATTTCATAGATTCTAATCACCTACCAGCATCACATTGAATTGAATACTGCACGCAACTTAATTCAGGTGTGATTGCAGGCACGTATCCAAAAAGGGACCATTCCATCTGAACCTGATCCTGTTCTCTCCCAGTGCCCACACCCACTTGGATCAGAGTTTGCATTTATTGATGTAACCATATCCTTAGTCCTACAATCTGCCACAGGAGGGTGGGCAGTTCTCATTGTCGCCCAAAGGCTGCTTTCCTTTGACATTTGTTTTCTTTCTTTTCTAGCCGATTACAAGGAGAGCTTTAACACCATTGGAAATATCGAAGAGATCGCCTATAACGCCATATCCTTTACTTGGGATGTCAATGAAGAAGCCAAGGTGAGCAAGGTCTCTGCGGGAAACTCACAGGCTCTCTTTTCCCCGCCCCCAAGTATACACAAAGCTTTTATTTACTAACGTACTTGCTGATGGATCTAACGGATTGACCTCAGTATTAATAGAAGTTGACCTTCACGGTTCAGAGCCAGACAATTGAAAAGTGATGCCAAAGGGCTCTTCCATCACTGTGTCAAGCAAAGCCTCACCTTTCGGTAAAAGGATCCCAAATAGATCATGCTGCAAAGAATTTCATTTGTTGTTTCATGCTTCCTGTTTTCTGTGAAGCTTTATTAAATGCTGTGTCGAAGCAAACAGGAAAGGGAATGCTGCCTAGGATCACGGAGACCATGGTTGTGGTGGGGCCCAAGCAGCTAAAAGGATATTTGTAACAGCATCTGTTTCCACGCAGTAACCAATCTGCCACCTAGTGATTTTTTTTTTTGAACGGCATTGTAAGTGCATAGAAATGCAGCAGAGCCCTGTTATAACACTCTTCAATATAGGGTTGTTGTGAACCCATGCTAACTGCATTGCATGCCGTGCATATGAAATGTTGCTTCCTACGTGATGTGCACATGCACTAAACACAGGAGGCACAGCTAACATCACTTCCTGTGCACTACCCAGTATGCTATGCAGAAGAAGTGCTGCTAACGTCGCTTTGCAAAAAAAAAAGCAGCACGCGTGTCCATAAAGTGATTTCACAGCACCCAGAAAGTGGCATCAGAGATGCTAAAGTTGCCCTCAGTGCCTTTGGTATACAAAGAAAAATCATCTAGGGTTTCTGTTACAGTGACACCTTAGTGGAAAGTTCTGGGTGTCCAGATATTGGGTGAGGACAGGTTTGAACTTGTCCGTGATGTCCCCACCCCTACATATTAGCAGAATAATTAACTTCTCTGCAATGTCCCCACCTCTAAACCATAGACAAGTTAATTTGTCTGCCAGTGATGACTGCCTGAGTCCTTTGCCACTCATCTCTGATACTTAAAACCTGCTGATGCTTGTGTATGAGTCACTCACTGTCATAGAGAAAAAGGTGAGAAAATTTAATGCAACATTGGAAGGAAAAGATCTGGCCAGGAAACATGAATGACTAATAGTGATTCACATGGTGTGCCTACTCTGAAACTTTCCAAAGGATGCTTCCCACTATCTGAGTACACAAGAGCTATGACAACACTGACTGAACCCCTATTGTTAATGCTCTGTTTTCCATTTCAACCAGGAAGAATTGTGTTTTGCTTACATTGACTAAAGGCCATTGACTGAGCATTCCTGTTGTAAATGGATAGGCTCTCTATTGATATTTTCCTCCTTTTCTACACCATTTTTTTTTAAAAAAAGAAACGATTTTGGTTTACCATACTTGACTGACTTCTAAGCAATAACAGTTTGACAACTGAGATAATTAAATTATCTATCTTAGCTCCTAAATGTTGCTTACCTTTTAAGTCTGTATGTACACTCCTTCGGACAGGTATTGTCCGTACTACTGAGGGTTACGATTAAACTTGATGCTACGTTCCCTGTTGCTAGGATACAATCATAATTGAACTGACTTGAAAGGTTCGTGCATCAAGAAAGTTTGTCTTAGGTTCATGTTATTAACAAATCTGCCTCTTAAATCGGTCCATTCATATATGGGAGTGTTTAACACTGGACTATGCAGTCCCTCCCTGCCTCCCTCCCTGCCTCCCTCCCTGCCAGGGTGTTGGGTAAGTGCAGTAATGTTCAAATTAAAAAAACTAGGGATATTAGAGAATACTTGTTTAAATTAATAGTGTTTGTATTCAGAAAACATCTCAGGATGAAGTATGTATTAAAATTTGGTTTCTTTGCTTCCTTTTTCTTCCTGATTCCCTTTCACTTAGTTGATTGGCTATTTTCACTCGTGTGTCAGGCTATCTCAGTTGGTATCTGAGTCAGAAGGTTGTGGGTTTGAGCCCTTCTTAGGATTTGAACTCACAATTTAGGCTGACATACCAATGACATTCTGGGAATGTGTCTTTCGGAACAGCTGTTAAATCAAGTCCTATCTGCATGTTCAGGTGGATGTTAACAGATCCCATGTCACTACATGAAAAGAGGAGGGAGTTTCTCCTGGTGTCCTAGCCAATAACCCTCCTGATAAAATTGGTCATTCACATCATATTTGTTCGTTGGATATTAAAAATTGGCTGCCACACTCATGTAAAAATGCACAGCCTCTATATTTTACAGTAAGCTCCTGTGACGCGCTTTGAGACTTCTTGATGATGTGATAAGGCACTATATCAAATGCAAGGATTATTATATTACTGTCCTTCCTGTTCACTCAGACTTCTAAGGCCCAGGTTACTGTTGTTCAGGTTCTTTTCCTATCCTTTTTGCAAATGGTAAATTGGAAAAATATCATTACCTGAACATTGAGGGCATCCCCAGTGGGGAAGTGGATACATTCCAAGATCTGTTGAGAACCCAGAAAACTCTTGTGTTTCAAAACTCAACTGATGTAGTGGATAATATCTGGAAAACTGAACTGTGAGTTTCTATTCAAGAAACTATACAGAACTGTACAGTTGTCAACACACTGTGTAGCATGAACAGTGTGAAAAAGTGAGCTATTTCATAAAGGGTTTGATAATTATTGAATGCAAGTTGTAACCAAATACAGTGCAGTCCAAGAATGAATTCAGTTGTAATGAGGTTGCATCATGCATCCCATACACACAGCCAATCTGCTCGCTTCCTGTGCGTTGGTGGGCTTTTGTCCTAAAATAATAATCCTTGCATTTGATTTAATGCCTTTCACATTGGGAAGACATCTCAAAGAACATCACAGGATTTACTGTTAAGTGTAACAAATGTATATTGTAAGCGGCAGGGGAGTAGGGGTGCGCAGCTTCACACTAGCCAACAACTTGCATAGATTAAGCATCTTGAGGAAGGGAAGGTCCTCTTGGCATGAAAGCAACTATATAAGTGTAATCTATTGTTGTAGATCAATTTATGTGATATTTCATAACTCATTCAATAACAAATTTAATGATTATCGAATCAGCTATGAACCATCGCATTTATCGCTCCAACATCCCAAATAAAAAGTGCTTGCTTCTGATTGTAGTCAACAGTCTAAGAGGATTTTGTTAATCGCTGCTCTTAGCAAAACATTTCTGTGTAAAAACACATCTGAGTCCTGTAGCTCAGTGGTTAGAGCACTCGCTTTGCAAGCGAGAGACCTGAGTTCAATTCCAGGCAGAGGGCGAAACCTTGGTCAAGTTTCCTTACTCCACAGAGCCTAATAATAATCCCTCCAAAACCAAAAACATTAATAAATTGGTCATTTTCAATCTACGACTGTTTGTGGGACATTGCTGTGCGCAATTGGCTGCCGCGTTCGCCCACAAATATACAGTCAATTCACTTCACAGTGTGTTCTGTGAAGCGCTTTGGGACGTCCTCCCGACGTGAAAAGCGCTATATCAAATGCAAGGATTATTATTATTATCTATCTCCACATCTGCTCGGCCTAGCTCTCCAGAGTATGGAAGTGGTTTGACTTTAGACTAGTGTGGAACGTGTGATGGATTTCCTGACACCTGCCGGGTGTTGGTCTGAAGACGGAGTTAAAAAATTGTGCAGCAAATAAGTGAAGAGATAGCCTTTCCTTATTGCTGTGTTGGTTTTATGGGTTGGGTTTGTATCCTGCAATGTGGTGGTGAGTAAAGCTGCAGCAGGGCAGAGTAAACAGTTCTGACAGCTCCAGCACATCAAACAGGGCCAGTAAGGCAAAGGTTCCATTAGCAAAGACCTTAGTGCCTGGTGACTGGGGAACAAATAATTATTATATATTATAAAGGGGAAAAAATCCTTAGCTTTTACTGGCTAGTGGGGATTATTTGTAACCATGTTACCAACATAAAGTCTGGTGTGAAGAGTTCCATTTGTTTATTTCAGCTCCAGTGATTGAAACTAAGTGGAGCCACGTGTTGGAGTGCCACCTCTGAGTGCTGCACAGGAGCAGGGGAGCCTTACTCCACTGTTCTACTTAGTCTCCAGTCTGTGTCTGTGTGGGCATGTGTTTGCACACACATGACCAAGGACTATGTTTCCTTATTCATGGGGAGTGAGGGGGGCCAGGAATATCGCCTCGATTCAGTCCATCGAGCCGATTCTGCCAGTAGACAGTGCTGTAGCTCAGTGGTTAGAGCACTCGCCTCGTAAGCGAGAGCGAAACCTTGGGCAAATTTCCCTACTCCACACGGCTAACAATAATCTCTCAAGAAAAAAAACAATAATAAATTGGTCACTTCAATCCACGACTGTTTGTGGGACACTGCTGTGCCCAATTAGCTGCTGCGTTTCTCCCACAAATATACGGTCAATTCACTTTACAGTATATTCTGTGAAGCGCTTTGAGATGTCTAGAATATGTGAAAAGCGCAATATCAAATGCAAGGTTTATTATATTATATTCACCAAGACCTGGAACTCTCGTCCAACAAAATAGATTTTTTTGATTTATGCGTAAATCCAGAAATAATTCAATCAAGAAAAATTTAGATCAAAACATTGATTTAAAACGGATCACCTCGTGCAAATGTTTGATGGGCTACTTCTTGACAGCCTCGCGGGCCATGAGCTGGCCATCACTGTTTTAGGCTTACACCCGAATGCAGTGCTAGGGTATGTGGAGTCCTGTAGCTCAGTGGTTAGAGCACTCACTTTGCAAGTGAGAGACCTGAGTTCAATTCCAGGCAGGGCGAAACCTTGGGCAAGTTTCCTTACTCCACACGCCTAATAATAATCCCTCCAAAACCAAAAACAATAATTAAATTGGTCATTTTCAATCTACGACTGTTTGTGGGACATTGCTGTGCGCAATTGGCTGCCGCGTTCGCCCACAAATATACAGTCAATTCACTTTACAGTGTGTTCTGTGAAGCGCTTTGGGACGTCCTCCTGACGTGAAAAGCGCTATATCAAATGCAAGGATTATTATTATTATTATATTGCATTGTTGGAGGTCTCATCTCTCAGCTGAGATGTTAAACCGAGGCCCCTTCTGCATCTTCAGGTGTACATTAAAGATCCCATTACAGTACTTGAAAAGAAAAGAAAAGAAAAACAGTCCTCCAGATAAAATTCATCATTCATTAATGCAATTTGCAATTAATTTCACTTTAGAGTAATTACCTATGAAAGCTAGTCACTGAACATCAGCATTCTACTCAGTTGTGGGTATGTTGCATCCGGCTCTCACCTGACCCTCCAGGCGTGGACACTTTCCAGCAGGGATCACAGGCTAGTGATTGGGAGTGGCAATCTTTACTCCCTTCCAAGCTGGAATCAATTGTTCCTGCTGTCCTGACGAAGATCAGTGAATTCAGCACAGAGCAGAAATCTAACATATGATATCACTGGTGTGTGTGACTCTGTACTGTACCATCTAAGTCATCGGGAATTGACACTGTAATATTTAGGTCAGTAGGTCTGAATTGTACCACCCCCTCCCCGACTCTCTCCAGTGTACCCTTCCCCAGCTGTGCGTACCTATCAGATAGTTGTAGAGGTTTACCGAAGTGGCTCAAATTATTCTGAGAATAAGCAAGAATCCTACTAGAAGCAGAGTAAGAGCTCTGAGCTTTTTCCTCCTGAGCCGTAGAGTTCTTTCATGGTGACCTCCAACTTACAGTTGTGATGCACCTGCACTATGGAACATGACACTTCATTGTTCTATTTACTAAACAACGAAGCCATCTCGCTCTTTGATTTTCTAATCCATTAATGGGTGTTCTCTGTTGCCAGGGAAGCCATTGAATACGTTGAAACGTCTGTTTTGTCAATATTCTGTGTTGTTGATGATGGTTAGTTGGCATTCTCGATTTTCTTTTCAGATTTTCATCACCGTGAACTGCCTGAGCACTGACTTCTCCTCTCAGAAGGGGGTCAAAGGGCTTCCTCTTATGATTCAGATTGATACGTACAGCTACAACAATCGAAGCAACAAACCCATCCACCGAGCTTACTGCCAGATCAAAGTGTTCTGTGACAAGGTATGAGGCACAAAGCGTGGGGCCAAAACCAGCTCTTTGTATTTTCATTTTCTCATGATCTTGATGGTTATAAATCCACATCGCAACTCCCTGTAGGAATGGAGACTTATGTGTACTATCATTACTGCCCTAATGAAATTTGTCCACACACTTAAGCATCCAATTGACAAAACAATGAGCCACTGCAATGATACACCTTTTTTCCCCATCAATAAAGATCTTCAGTTCCTAAAATCAAAGCAAACCATTCTTAATATTGTACTGAGGAGTAAAATGAGGCCAACATAATTAATCTCACGGCAATGAAGAGTTACTCTAAAGATATTAGATGAAACTTTCTACTGCCACTAACTAATGTGCTGGCACCATCTAGTGGTGAGTTTGCAGCCATACACAGAAGAGGACCAACAGTAAGCAGCTGAAACTGGTTGATCAACTTTTTTTAAGAGGGGGAAATCATGATTCCATTCAGTGAGTTTTTTGGTTCAGACTTTCGTTCTGAAACTATCCTGTAACTTTCAGAACTGAATGGACTTCTTTCCTCTTGTATATTTAATTATTATTGTTATTCTTCAACAATGAGCCTTTCTTTTTAAAAAAACAAACTGAGGAATATTTCAGGTCCAAACCAAAGTCAATTCTGCCAATACTCCATCAACCTAGTACCCTTAAGTATTTGCAGTGGGGAGCGGTTGGAACCAGAAGGTAGAGCACAGTAACCTATCCTTATTTAACCTTAGGGAGCTGAGCGGAAAATCCGAGATGAAGAACGGAAGCAGAACCGAAAGAAAGGGAAAGGATCGGGAACAAGCAGCCAAATAGCATCAAGTAAGCAGACAAACACCTGCTTCTGTGTTTTCTTGTTGTTTAAAAAAAAATCAGCAGGTTTATTTGCCTTAAGTCAGATTTCTTTTGAATGATGTTCTCTTGTTGATTTCAGCACCAGAAGGCAAGCTGAACACCATGTCCCCACAGAAGAAGAACGACACTACTTTCTTCAAGACTATGACAGACCTGGATTCCCAGCCTGTTCTCTTCATACCAGATGTTCACTTTGGTAACCTACAACGCAGTGGTCAGGTAATAAATAACCTACCATAGAACTATAGAAATTTACAGCACAGAAGAAAGCCTATTGTGTTTGTGCTGGCTCTTTTAAGAGCAATCCTTTCAGTCCCAATTTCCTGCCCTTTCTCCATACTCCAGTAGCTGACTCCTTTTTAGGTATTTACCAAGCTCCCTTTTGAAAGCCGCTTTGGCAGCTAACTGGCTGCTAACCATCTCACGACAAGCATTTATCCATCTGTACACAGCGCAAACATTTCTTTTAAACAAATTCATCCTCTTTCTTTTCCAAGATTAATAGTAATGTTTATATCTTGGATCCGGAAGATGAAAAATCCCTGCAATTAATTTAAAATAGGTTTGGGACTTATAATAAGAAAGAATTCTTGCATTTGACTATAGTGCCTTTCCAGTCAGGAGGACGTGTCGAAAGTCCTTTACAAGATATATTGTAAAGTGTCATGACTGAATTTTAAAGACGAAAATGGCAGCCAGCAATGATCCACATACAACCATGTACTTTATTTTATAAAATATCCAATTTTATTTGGAGGAATGTTGGCGAGGACTCAGTGAAAAACTCCTTTTTCCCCCTTTTGGTATCATCTCTCCTTCAACTAGAGCAGAACTGTGTTTTCTCAAACCTTATCTGATTAGTGTTCAGACACTGGATGGAACAATGTCAACTGCCCACAAGCTCCTGCAGTTGGTATCTTGGCTAAATTATACCCATGATTACGATTGTGTGCTGGGCTGTTTATTCAGAGATTTTCTTATACTCAGGCATTCACCTCGACTGAGATCAGCTGACTAAGTGACGATGACTTGGCATTTATTTTAAAGTCAGCAGGTTTTCTGCCTATAGGCAGCAGCTCCTGTTGTTGAATCATTTGTATGTAAACCTAATGTCTGTGGTCATCCTTTGTCCATTTTCATCAGTTCTGTGTTTCCTCTAATCTGAATTTATAAATTAAGATGATTTTTTCTGGCTCTACAAGTCTTTCACGCAGGCCTACTAGAAATCTAAAAATACGTTTATTTGAAAAAAAATCTATAGTTATATTATAATAATCATTACATTTGGTAGAGTAGCTTTCATGTTGGCAGGATGCCCCAAAGCGCTTCACAAGATATACAATAAAGTGGTCACTCGTTCTGTGGCAAATGTGAAGCCAATGTCCTGCAATTTTCCGACAAAATACACAGTCAGTTCACTTTACAGTGGATTCCTGTGAAGCACTTTGAGACATCTCAATGGTGTAATGTCGCTATATCAAGTGCAAGGATTATTAATATTATTACTATATGTACACCTGAGAAAATCCTGGCTTGTAGAAATCCCTGTATTAGATCCCTGTAGAAAGAAGAGACCCAGCTTTACAGTTCAAGTTTACAAGAAAGGTGATAAACTGATGCTGCCCAATGATTCGGTAATTTCAGGGCTGTTTTACTTCATGCTTCACCAGAGCACAGTGCACATATTGTCTTCCTGGTCCAACGTTCTCCCTTTCTGATGATGTATTCTCCCAATTTCCCATTTTACAGATGTACAGTGTCGCAACAGATGATATGGAGAGGGAAGGGTAAGTGTTCAGCTTATGATAGCAGGTGTGGAATATTCAGGGGTTGCTTGCGAATAAAGTAACAATCATTGAATACTGAGATAGAGACTAAATCCTGCTAAGAGAAAGAATATATTCTCTGGCAGTGAAAATTGTGATATTATTTTTAAGAATGTATCATTGAATTTAGTGATCTTATGATAAGACATATCAGATGGTCTTTTGATATGCAGTTAAAAGGCACTGTTATATCTGGATAGTTATAAAATTCTTCAGGAAATCAAAGGTCTAAATCCCGATCACTTTGCACTGAATGCAATCAAAACATCAAAGTACTCCTTCTGAATAAAGGATCAAATGAATAAAACATCCTTTCACCCAGTCAAACTGCAAAGTATTAGAAAATGGATGAGAAATTCTAAGTGTGGTTTATTTCATTATGTTTTTACCAGTGTCTTTGTAAAAAGGATGTTCCGGTCAATAGAGGATGAGTATCCCCCAACAACACCCAAGCGGATAAGAGAAGAAGGGTATAAAAAAGGTACTTTTCACGAGTTTCCTTTATAATCCTGAATTTGCAAAGTCTCATAACTGTCACTAGTGGTAATTCACACTCACCACTACACCGTGCTTTTCATGGCTCTACACTTTCTCTTTCCTCGTCTCTTCACATTCTTTCTAATTAGAAAATCCTTTCTAGTTCCTCTCATCTTCAGTTGCAACTTTCACACCTCTAGAGCTAAGTTGCCCAAGAAGTTCAGTCTCTTTGATGCCAAACATGTTTACCTCATCGACATTTTAGAAAATCCTTTCCAAAGTCTTTAATACTATTTCCATATCTTGGGCAGCTTTTCCAGCATACTCCTTGACAAGATATGCGACATCTTGTTCTCTGAAGAGGATAGTAGTAACTTGCATGTGAAAAATGCATGTTTCACTTAGAAGTCCAGATCAAACGATTTTACAAATCAATTCTTTTGTTTCTTTGAAATTGCAATGCCCTCACAAATTACAGGCAGATGGAACTTAAATTTAATAACACAATCACAAAATGGGCAGATCTCAAAATAAACAATAAAATTGAACATAATAAAGAATGTTGGTACACAGACAAACATGGCAGCTAATCTCTGCCAACATAATAGAAATAATGACACAGGGAGACCATTGAAGCCAATGACTCTAGCCTGGTGCTAAACCCATCCACTGGGACCAAATACTCTAATCCCAATTTACAGTTGATCGATCAGAGACTAAACTATGATTATTTTATTAAGAAACAATAATTGGAAAATCAGAATTTGACTCTTGAGAGCTGTGGTAATGCAGAAGAATTTCAGCTTTTTCAGCTCTTGGTTTCTCTTTGCAGTGTTGCTGTACGTACGGAAAGAGTCCGATGAGGTGTTTGATGCTCTTATGCTGAAGTCTCCAACAGTGAAGGGGCTGATGGATGCAGTAAGTAGATATTTCATGCTCTCATTGATTTGGAAGGTTCACTAATTGTAAACAATGACTCCGGAGTACCTGACTGGGCAGCATGTTGTGCAGTATGAGAGACAGGTTTCTGAGTTCCTCAGCTGCGGTTTGAGAAGTCTCGGAAGACATGATAAGGCTCTATATGAAATGCAAGGATTATTATTATTATTATTATTATCTCCACTGCCTGCACCAGAATTGAGGCAAAATTGGAGTGAGGCTCAGCCCTGGTCTTTTCTCCTAATAGCAGTTCACAGCAACGTTGGCAAAAGCTTTGAATGAAGAATATTTAAATAAACAAAACGTCTCAAAGCTCCTTACAGAACTAGATTAGAGTCTTCCTTGAGGTGAGGTAAACAGGGTCGTTTTGTGTTTGATACTGACATGGAATATCAGTATTGAGTCAGTCCTTTGCGAAGGTCCAATTCCTGAGCTACGTAGGTCTGCAGTACTCCAGGACATTGTTGATGATAAACCAACCAGTTTGGATTGTCAGCAGGACTTGTTGAGCAGACCAGTCACTGTAGCTGGCAGTTTTACCATTTACTTCTTTTTAATTCTAAAAGCCAAATCTCTAGCTGGACAGGCAACTGGGCAACCAGCAGGAGCTTGCCCGACAGTGTTCACTTTGGCAAGCTGTATATATTTTTTTAAGCTTGTTGAATTTGAGCATAATGGGATCCCAAGCCTGGACTGTTGACAATCCACACCTAATACTTTTGGGATTAAGTAAACAGGATGCATTCCTCTGGGGAAAGAGTGTTCACTCAGTTGCACTCTTGACTCTAAGGCTAACATTTGTGAACTCAAGCTCCACGTTAGGACTTTGAGATCACAGATTAGGCTGATACTCCATTGCAGTGCTGGAGGTGTGCAACATTGTTAGAGGAGCTGTCTTTTGGTTGAAATATTAAACTGAGGCCCCGTCTATCTGTTCAAGTGGACATGAAGGACTATTCGAAAAGAGGTGGGCATTTTCTCCCTGGCCAACAATCCCCCAAGTAAAATTGGTCGTTCACTTCATGGCTATTTTTGGAACATTGCTGTGCACAAATTGCTATATTTGCCTATAAATACACAGTCACTACACTTCACCGTAAAATCTGGTGAAGCTCTTTTAGTTGGATCAATTCTGTGATAAGATAAATCAAATGGAAGGATTATTAATGATTTTATATGCCTTTTTGTTCTGCCTTTCCAGTTATCTGATAAATATGGGTTTGCAGTAGAGAAGATCGAAAAGATTTATAAGAAAAGTAAAAAAGGGTAAGTGATATAATTTGGAATACCTTCTCTGGTAATAAAGTATGTGCATAATTCTTGTACCTTTCAAGCAATATAACCTCTCAGATTTACCTTAGATTTACAGACAAACTGTTTTTATGTGAAGAATTCTACACTGGACATCGTGTGAAATGCTATGAGTGAATTGAACTCAAATAGTGATGTTCTTAGTGCTTGAGACTTAGTTTAGATCAGTGGTGGCCAAAATAAGAACATAAGAACTAGGAGCAGGAGTAGGCCATTCAGCCCCTCGAGCCTGCCCCGCCATTTGATAAGATCATGGCTGATCTTCAGACCCACCTCTAATTACCTGCCCTATCCCCATAATCCCCTAATCCCTCTGTTTTTTAAAAATCTATCAGTCTCAGCCTTGAACCTTTTTAGTCAGCCAACCAAATACATTTTTCTTGATTGAATATTTTTTGATTTATGACCATACCATAAATATCACTATTCAGTAGCTACTGGAAACAAAATATTGATTTAACAGACTTACCTAGACTAGTGCGAATGCTCAGCAGGCCACTTCTTGAAGTCCCCGCAGGCTAAAAATGTCCTGTACGCCATAGGTTGATCACCACCGGTCTAAATATTGGGTGGATTTCCAATGAAATTTTAAGAAGAGCAAGATCCATTCTTAAAATATATTTACCTCTTTACTTTCTTAATACTAGCATTTTGGTGAATATGGATGACAACATCATCGAACACTACTGCAATGAAGACACTTTCATTCTTAACATTGAGAACACAGGCGAGAGCTTCAAAATCATGCTGACTGAAATTTAACAGGAAATAAGAATGGCTTCCAATAATAACACAGTCAACATCTGCCTCGAGAGTGGATGAAAACTTAAGCATTTCTCAGTTACAAACAAGATTACTGATGAACTGGTACTCCACAGTCAAGAGGACAATACTTAAGATATCAATGAACTCAGCTGGTATTTTCTTTTGATGTTACTTCACAATGTACAAACATTAGCTGTTTTAATAGTTCTAAAATATTGTCTCAGAGTACAGATGAAGGTGTTCTTCAGCTCAAAAGGCAATAGATTTTAGTATTTAGCCAGTATGGGTGTCCACCCTGAATTTACCTGGTATAATTCTCCCACCACTATTGACCACCATCGGCATTTGATTTGTGGAAAATTCCTTGACGCAATCTCATCCCATTTCTCCACACTGGATTCAGCAGGGAAGTACTGCATGAGGCAGGATTTGGACATTAATGTACACAGGTTGCTGCTTCATTTGTTTTTACAATCCGAGAACGATAAGACTTTTTGCATTTCCCTGCAATGGTTAGAACTTCCAGTCATGTGATTGTACATGTTCATATTACAGAATGACCTACACCTTACACTCCAGTGAGCCACCTCAGTGCACTCTTTGCCTTGGTTCTCCCAAGTAGCATTACGAGGGCCAAGTTAGATCTTTATTAGAATTTGAGAGACACAGAAATAGAAAATAGCATTATCATTGTAAAAATGTCTATAATGTGCAATATTAAATTTTACATAATAGGGCATGTTTACTGCCGGTATGCTTTCTTTGGGTTGAGGGTTTTCATAGGCATGGCTTTTCATATATAAATATATAAAAAAGTTTCCTTTTTGTTTATATATTAGGTTTTACTAGCACCACATGAATTTGCAGAATAACTGTATAAACTGTTATCCAGGGTATTTAAAGGATTTGGGAAACTTGAATGTTTTTACAAATTAAGAAAAACTGTATACAAGGGCGATATTTTTGCAAATGGGGAGTCGGGATCTTTCAGACTTTAAAAAAGACAGTTGTATTTTATTTTTTGTACATTTTTTTATTATTAAGAGCAAAATAAACTCCAGAATATGAGTGAATTCTCACCGCCTGTTTTATGAATGGGGTTTCTGTCTGAGACACGGTTGGTTTTGGCCCAGGAAGGGTGGGTTTGTTACTATGGAATTTCTGCTACAGATTTTTTGCAGCTCATTATGATATCACGTTACCTGAAGGACATGTTGGCTGAGGCACTAATTTCACCATAAGCACCATCACAGTGCTCACAATTACTATATAACTACAATGTCTGTAGTGTTTTTACTCCCTGGCTCCTGAAAGAACACTTCAGTTCTGCCCCTTTCTCCTACATTTGAGGTAGAGCCTTTCACATCGGGAGAATGTCTCAGAGCATTATAGGATTTACTGTAAAGTGTAGCGACTATTTTGTAGGCCAGTGCAGCTTGCTGAGAAGAGGAAATTCCTTCTTCCCACTGAACTAGTGGAAATATCGCTGCACTGAAAACGTAACCTGGTAGTACCTGTTAAACTGCCCTTGTTATTTAAGTAGCTCATTTTCTGATAAAATTAAGTCAAACTTGACTTTTAATGTAGCTTGTGGTAAGTTTGCACACATCAGGAATATGTACCTGTTGCCTTCACAAATTGTTTATTTTATTGGCGTGAAACTTGTAGTTTGTAATTTTTATGACAGCTATCACAATTTTATTTATCACAACAGCAGCAACTTGGGTCTGTGTAGTGCCCTTCACACATAGTAACGTCGATGGTGACATTTGGCAAAGGTGTTTTAAAGAGATAGGTTGGATACTGAGCTGGAGGGGTTGGGAGATGGAGGTGGCCATAGACACGTTTGAAGAAGTAGGAATTGAGTTAGGATTTAGACAGAAGAGGTGGGGGGGGAATGGTAAAGTTCCAGAGTTAGGGTGTGGGATCTCAAGGCTCAGTCACCGATGGTAGTACAGAGAAGGCAGGAAATGCACAACAAGCCTGAGTTAGTTGAGCAGAGGAAGGAGTAAAGTAGGAGGAGATCAGCGAGATAAGGAGGTGCCATAGATTGAATGTCTTTGTAGGTGAGGGTGAGGACATTATTTGCAATTATTTGGTGATTAACATCAAACAACAGCTAAGGGGCAGGAAATCCCTCCAACCTCCGGAGAATCATTTTGTTCACTGGCTTTTTCAGGATATTTCACTGCCATAATTTATTTTGAAGTGATGATTTTTAAAACTTTAAATTCGAACCACTATGAAGGTCTTTTAACTTCATTTGCTTTGTTGGATGATTATTTTCTAAGTCGACCCTGGTGAGGAGTAGTGAATTCCGCACTCTCCTCAGCCAGAAATAATTGCTTCCCGGTTAGCGTAAAGCCACTGAAACACTTCGCAAGACAGAGATTCACGGGAAGAACAGACACATCTTGCTTAAATGTTTTAATCAAACAAAACATTTGTTCTTTTACAAACATTTATTTTTTTTAAAGTGGATCTCAGTTTCGAACACCTTTGACAACATCAAAAATAGAAACTTTAGCTGCAAATTACACAAAAAAGACAATATATTTAATTAAAAGTAAGCTTTTTTTAAACGATCAAAAATCACAGCTTAAAACATACTCCACCCCTGAAGTATTAAAGCTTGCTTGTACCAATTTCCTAAACACGTCGGAGTTTAGATTTGGAGGATTTCTTTTTTTTAAAAGAAATCATAGCCTTTTAGTTGCTTCCTTATAACACCTGTTCAGAGCTATATGGTGTAAGCATGCTCCATGCCACATATTATGGCAGTGTACAGTAAAGCTGTGCACTTGCCAGAGTCAATTACCAGCAAACAAAACATAGAAAGACTCAAACTGTTTACACCAACATGCATGCTGATCTGAGCAAAAAGTGTATTTTTTTGCCTGCAAAATTAAAATGTGAAAAATGTACAATTTTTCTTATGGCAAGCAGCTTTCTAAAAATTAAGTAAATATCTAGAACAAATGGATAGCAGTGTGCCCTGTAACTGCAACCCCCCCCCATCCCTATACATGGGTCAATGTCAAGAGTTTGCTACAGTGGTGACTGATGTAAGACATTTTGTTCAACAACAACAACAAATTGTATTTTATAGCACCTTTCATGTCACGAGATCTTCCCAAGGTGCTGGACTGTCTGGTTTGCACCTGAGCTGGGTTATGTGTTAAAACTTGAGTATGTTCGCAGCCAATGTGCACTGCTCTGCAAGACCATACTGAGAAACCAGTGTACAGCTGCCAATGAATAGATTCTAGCCCCTAATCTGTACACCAGTTGGGCCACCCCAGCATTCAGCCTCAAGGTGCATAGCTTCATAGCTTTCCAAATGGTTTGCAACAGTTTTTTATTATTTTGGCCAACAAAAAAACACGAGTTTTTGGACTTCATTTTTGCTGTAAATTGCTTCTAATGCAATTATTTTGCTCAATACTCGCTCATGAGGAAACCTGCCGGTTTCAGTGTTCAAATACTGCTGAAGAGTCAGCTAGGGAGAGCACATTTGAATATCATGTGATTTGTTTATAGTGAGAAGGTTGGAAAAGCACACATTGAATCACACTCCATTGCTCTAACCATCTATTCTTAATTCTGTACACCAATCAACAGTCCACAAAGACTGATGGTCAAGGCTTGATGTCTTCATTTGCTGAGACTTGGTGGTTACATATACAATTCACCTTCTCCCACCCCATTCCAACATTTGTCCAACTGAATCCAGTGTAGCTGAATCCATAAAATCTCTTAGCCATCAACTGATGCTAAACAGAGTGGTTATTAATGCAAACATGTTGCTGTTCGCCATGTTCAGTTCTTCTCCCATCATTGACTCCAATCTGTTCTACTCTTTCTGGGGAAGCAGTCAAGCTCCTCAGATCAATCCTGTAACTTCTCTCAACCAGTTTGAGAATCACAGATTCATCTCAAACCACATAGCATTTTGCTCCGATGTTGAACCAATCTAAGCGTCTGCTCCTTTTACAAATGCTTAGTGCACCTCAGGTTTTCAGTGGTGCTGTAGGGAGGAGGTTGGAGAGGAGGCGGGTGGCGTGTATTTTGTATACAATACAAAATTACATTTGTAAAGCGCCTTTCACATCGGGAGGACGTCCCAAGGCGCTGGACAGTCAGGAAATTGGATCCGAGCTGGGGGTCAGGATCGGGGAGGGTGGAGGGCAGGGACATGCCTCACTTCATCATTCCAAATCTACATAAGTACAAGATCACTTTGTTCAAAAGGGACTCTATAAAAAAAGTGGCCATAATCATGGATTACATATCAGCCGAATAGAACCTTCATAGCAATTAACATCATGAGCAAGATCCTGAGCTATAAACAGTTTAACTCAGAGCTTGAGGAACGCCAACCTTTCAGTTCAATTCCCCTCTAATTTCCTTCTCCATCTCTTACTAAAGCCAGTGACCCAACAAATGGTACGAGTATGGAACATTAAAAGCTGCTCTTAATCTTCAACATCAAACACATTATTTTTTTTCAGGATCTGTTTTGCAAGTCCATAAATGGTGAAAATCAAGGGAAGAAAAATGTAACGCAAACATAAATAGGTAAATTTGGTAAAAATCAGGTAAAAAAAAGTCCACCAATAATTTTCAATTTCTCCGCATGTAAAAGGTAGTTGGGAGACACCACCAACTACCTTATACATGGTTTATCACACACAACTCCAAATAGGTCTTTCACTCTCAGATTACAAGCAACAATTACCAGTGATTGCCATGTCAAATGGTGCATGTCCTGAAGCACATTACTCACAGCGCAGCTCAGAAGTCATCTAGGTACCACCGCAGGGTCAGAGGTCACCTGTAGCCATATGATTCTCACATGAATCGACAAGACTTCAATGCTGCTTCAGAGAAAACCATTTTTTTACCAATTGACTTTCCAAGTAGTTCAAATGAAAATCATGACCCCAAGAAAATACTGACTAAAGATTGATGTGGTCCCATAGATTCCAGCCAATTTGGTCACTTTGCATCTGTGAGCCAGAGCAGACTCTGTTTAATCCTGGCGCCGATCACAGCCGAATCTGATATTGTCCTCTTATGTGCATTTGCCAGCAGGGGTATCAAATAGATACTGGTTGAAAATCTTTCACGTCTTTCTCTCTCTCCCTACACTGCCAGAGGATACTGGAGCTAATTGTTGTGCCTTTAGAGCTCCCCCCACCTGAGATTATCAAACAGCAGGAATTGAGAATCAAACTCGAGACCTTCCTGGTTATTATGGCTCATTAATACATCATGTGATACCTTTACTAAATGTCATCGGGATAACAGGAAATTACTGTCTGACAAGTCGTGATTCTTATTATATAATCAATATGCATTAATCATTCCCCAGAGTGATTTAAACTATGTGACCCGAGAGTTTGAATATCACCTGACATGAGCCCAATAGCTTGACTTCACAAATATTAAGAGTAATCAGGTCTCAGTCTGTTTTTTTTATCTGGATCAAGGCCAAGGGATTGTGTGAATGAAGCTATGACTAACTCACATCCACTTCTTGAAGAAATGTAGCAGTTTTGACGAACAGGATGTTTCACAATTGGCAACCACAACTCTCTGCCACCTGATCATTTTATACACAATTGTTCTGCCTCCCAGAATATGAGGGTCTCCAATTCACAGCCAATGAAGTACGAAGTGATACCGTTTCCAGTTGCAGAACAATTGAGGAATCCTAATTTGACTTCCTTCTCCTCATCACTTTAGTCAAAGCACAAGCACCTGATTTCAGAGCCCTGCTCGGCACATAACTCCAAGGCTAGCTGTTAGTTTTTAGCATATTTGAAGAGTTAGTGATGGGGGACCAATTATTCAATAACATGTAACAATGGTCTCTTGTAATTCTTGGGAGTCCCTGAAAGGGGAATATTGGGATACAGAGCTGGAGTTAGTTCTTGACCACTATGTTTATATTGCAGCAGAAAATCAAAGAAATTCAAAAGCAACTAGTCAAGATTAGCTGTTTTCTTCCAATTGCACTATTGAACTCCAATTTTCTCTACACACTTTGCTTCAAAGTGTGCTATCAATCCAGTGTTTGAGAAGCTGTGAGAGGGGCTTTGGACTTGCAGCTTGTGGGTCGCTGGCCTTGACTGATATTAGCTGTTTTTAATAAACAAAAGCCAGTGTCCTTTTTGACGGCACCTTGGGTCATTGTAGATCCGTCCCCCACTCCCATTCCCAGCTCGAATGCAAACCCTGGACTGCCTAGCACCTTGGGACACCCTCCCAACATGAAAGACAACATATAAATGTAAATTTGTTGCTGTTATTGTAGATGGGAAGATGCAAAATAAAGTCCCAGATACCCATCAAGTCTGTTCCTAAGAATTCCCCTCACTCCACCTCGTTCTCAGGATTCATCTACACATCTCCTAGTGCTGGCAATTAGGGCCCTAAATAGTGGAGGTGAAATACCAGAGAAATAAAGTTGAGGGTAGGAGTTGCGAGCTAGACGTTCAAAGCTCGGGACCTGACCCCTCCGGCTTCACCATTGAGATGTTTCAGGGTCCACCTCCAGCCCATGATATTCATCACATGGAACGCAAAGTGGACCCCAGGGTCTATTCTGGACAAGTCAGACACTTACTGCGGGCAGTAACATCACTACTACAGGGGCAGCAATAGCCTGTGAAATTAGGAAAACATTTTCCTTCTGTCTACAAACGTGGCAAATGCCGAGTCACTTTATTCTTTAAAAATATCATTCCAACTGAGCACAGATGATCCCTTCTGTAACAATTTTTAAAAACAAGAACCCTAATATAAAAGAGCAGATAACCTGCGCCTGATGGGTGGGGGGGGGAGGGGCAGGGGGTGGGGAGCAGAGAAGACTACTGTCGTGCTATACAAACAAGTATGGCATTTTCAAACGTAGGTTGTTTCAATTTCATTTTCAACTACGTTACATTACTGTTGAAGTATTTGGCACTGGGAATCTGTCCCAAGCCATCCAGTCCTACTTCATAATCATGATCGATTTAATGTAAGAAAAAAAATTGTTATTGTGTCAGGAAGTCATGGGACAGTTTCAAAGTAATCTTCTCTTGGAAGTGTGACTGTTTCAAAAGTCACCTCCAATAACCTCCTAGCAGTTAGTGAAAACAGTGGACATGGTGATGTCTCTTACTCAGAATGTAATGGTAATAGGAGAAAATAATAATAATAATAATAATCCTCGCATTTTGTGTAATACTTTTCACTAAATTGGAAATACAGACTACATTCCCACTGTTGCTGAGCCCATGTGCCAAAAACATGATTTATAATGTGCTCTTAAAGGGGAACATCTTACCCAATATTCATTTAATAATAATAATCCTTGCATTTGATATAGCGCTTTTCACGTCTTCTAGACGTCTCAAAGCGCTTCACAGAATATGTTTTAAAATGAATTGACTGTATATTTGTGGGCGAAACGCAGCAGCCAATTGCGCATAGCAGTGTCCCACAAACAGTCGTGGTTTGAAAGTGACCAATCTTTTATTGTTTTTGGTTTGGAGGGATTATTATCAGGCGTGTGGCGTAAGGAAACTTGCCCAAGGTTTCGCCCTGCCTGGAATTGAACCCAGGTGTCTCGCATGCAAGGCGAGTGCTCTAACCACTGAGCTACAGGATTCCACTTTTGAGATAAGTGGATTTTTCAAAATACTGTGATGCTTCTGATTAGGAGACAGAAATGCCAACCCCCTCCCTCCCTCCCCACACACACACTCACTAGTTTCTCCCTCTTTTGTCATCTCTCATCCTTTCCATCCTTATCCATAATCTGGGTGAGATTAGGTCTGATCTAACATATTCATAAATTGGACTTGTTGAGTTAATTGTACATTGTGCCTACGTTGCTGTTTCCCGCTGGTGATTTGCTCACTGGCCTTTGTGTGAGATCCACGGCATTCACAAACCAGAGTTCACAGTTAACACAACAAATCTGGTTTGAGTCTATTGGAAATTAGGCTGCAGGTGGCAGTGGTGCTGAATTAGTATATATGCAGCCTTTTGCTGTGGATTCACATCTGCTGGGATCAATACAGGCTTTATTCAAACCACATTTGATTCTTAGAAAGAAGAGGTTCTAATCCTTCCTGTCTGAGTTGGCCCCAGTTCAAAGGAGACTTTTCTACCAGTCTCTCTACTTTCTTCTGTATAAATTAGCTATGTTTTCGGTTGGGCTCATTCTATACAAAATAGAGTTGTAGAATAACATCCACCGTCAATTAACAAGGATCTGTATGGCTGATATACTCAATAGGGCAATGGTGACCAACATGTGACCAGTGGGCTGGAAGTGGCCCATGGGGCCATCAAGAAGCTCCCACCCCACCATCTGAATATTCACACAAGTCAAGGTAAGTCTATGTCCAATTGATAGTGAGTTTTCAGTTTTTTTCTTGTTTGAATATTTCTTGATTTAAGGCAGAAACCAAAAAAAATTCAATCATGAAAATGTTTGTTAACCAACTATAAAGGTTGGCCATCCCTGAAAAGGGAATTGACCGCCTGCTTTCTGCCAGATCTATAAGGGAAACCTAAGCCATCAAACTTTTTATTGGAGCTTAGTTTTATCTGGCAATTTATTTTTTATTATTTTGTTTAGTGAGAATCTGAGACATGCTGACTTCAGAGGTCACAGGTTTAATCATTGATCTCAGCCAGGGCAGGTCTAGATGTACAACAATTGGCTTCAACAACTTAGACAAAAGAGGGAAAGTAATCAACCAAGTCAGTTCCTGATCACTATCAGGTGCAGTTCCTCCTCACTATCTTGTGCCAACCTCCTGATCACTGTCCAGTGTATTTCATTACCATTACCCAATGCAACTCCTCACACCTCCCAGTATCCCCTGCCTGCTGGAAGGATCCAACAACAGGCTCAACCGCGAAGCATTCTTGTCAAATGGATGCATGTTCATAAATGAAGAATGGCCACTTGGATGATGTACTCCGTGGAGCTGAGAAAGGAGACAAATGCCTTTAGAGAAGGAGGTGCAGAGGGAAGGGGGGGAATCGGAGAACAAAATTGATGTGAGATAGAGAGAAGTAAATGAGAATGAACAGCACTACTGACTGATTTTCATTCCTAATTTTTATAATCTCCTTCCCAGATTATGGCTCAAATTTACTTCACGTTTAGCAGCTCAGGACTTGTCCACTACCCGTCACAAGATGAATTTGACGTTGTATGAATAGCACCCCCCAGACACGTACATTTCTACTCCACTCTTGGTTTGAAATAGCTCCCAATGCATTGTCACAGAATCAGCACCTCTCAGTGGCTTGCTTCATATACAGAACCCCGTGAATGCACTGAAAGATTGATGGGTTTTTGACAAGAGCTGCCACATAAATGTTCACCTGACCAACATTCTGACTCCATCTCCTCCAGGTAGTATTGTTGTATTGCCATTTGTTGCTGATGGCACTGTGACAGTGTGACTGAGCTGCGGTGTGGTGAAGGGCACGTCTCTCACCAGTGCAATCTCAA